TTCATTTATCACGCGATTAATTAATTTATCGTTTATCGTGACAGGCCTAACTGCACATTAGAACGTTCCTGGAGAAACGATGACTGGGACTGCCACGTTGCGGCCACTTTTTAATTTTGATTTGACAGTACTATGTGTTGGGGTTCGCTCTCAGCTACCACCATACCAAATTTCAGTGCAGTCTGGGAAAAAAAAAGGTAATTTTTTCATTTGAAGCTATGGAGACCATCTTGGATTTTTGATTTGGATTCAGTATGGGATGGGGGATGTTCTCATCTATAACCTCCCCAAATTTCAGCTCTGTATGTGTAAAAATAGCTGAGTTAAAGACATCTAAATGTAGCTTTGGTGGCCATCTTTGACTATTTAAATGTCAATTACTCTCAGCTAGCAACACACCAAATTTAAGCTAAATAGCTCTAAAAACCCTCTGAGTTATATCTATTTGAAATTAGCTTTGGTGGACATCTTGACTTTTTAAATGCGTTCTGCATCACTGTCAGGTACCACCACACCAAATTTCAGCTCAGTATCTTTTTTAAAAAGCTGAGTTATCATATTTTTCCCCTTTAAGCTAAGGAGGCCATCTTGGATTTTAAATTTGCATTAAGAATGTATAACTTGCTCGGCTACGACCATACCAAATTTCAGCTCAATATATCAAAGAATGACTGTTCTAGTGAATTTTGAGTTTTGCGGTAGCTGTGGCAGCCATCTTGAACCAAAAAAGCTCTAACCGTTAATCAGCGTTTTGTTCAGAGACCGCTCCACTCCAGGTCATGTGACCTCACTGTGGCAGTTAGAGGCTGCTGAGTTCTCTCAGTGTTTTTCAATGAGAACAATGATGTCTTTAAAAAAAAGTGTCCTTTTAAAGTCAAAGTTTCTTTATTTGTCATTTGCAACGCATGTGGTACATGTGTGTACACAGGGTCCCAGTTACATACAACAAAAGTATAAAAAGGAGTATGTAAGAGTGCAAGGTATAAAAGTATAAAAGGGGTCGATCAGTCTTTTGGGCCGTGATCAAAGTTCTGAAAATTTGTCCCTCTATCAGTCACTGCAACAGATTCATAGAAGGTTTGATCAAGATGATCAACTCGTATGTAGATGATGCCACGTTATATTCATTTAAAAACGTCCAATTTCCCTCTTGATTATTTTATCAACTGCAACATTTAGCAGAGTTTTCGGAATCATTATCCAAAAATCTCCTTTCTGGTAGAGATCAGCAAAGGTTTTTGGTGCTTTGTACCATGAAGTGAAAATAAAAAGATTATAGCCAAAAGTGTGTATTTAACGTTGCTCATTTTCAGAAGATTGTTTTTTTATCCGTTTAGCGGTTAAACCTAAACATTATATTAAAAAAGGATTTCCAATGAATTTGCAGAAAGTCTGCATCGACTTCTTAAACTGCAGCTGTGGGCCGCACAAAATCAATCGATGGGCCGCAAATGGCCCTCGGGCCACACTTTGGACACCCGTGACTTATGAATATCAGCCTCTGTGATGTCAGAGTTTTAAACTCTTCAAAAGATCATCTTTAACTGAAAATCATATAGATGTTTGGGTCAAACCTTGTAAACGACGTAGACGTCATGCTTATGTTTGGGTTGACGATGACTTTTTGCTTTTTAACTCATTATCTTTAAAACTGAATTGTAGCCACTTTGAGCTGGTCAACGTTGACAGCAGTGGTGGCCATCTTGAAATGCAGCGACTCCAGGGTTGATCTGTTGCAGACGTTTATTGAATGATCATGTTTGAAAAGTTTGAAAACCCTCCCATCGGTTCAGATATTTTGCTAACAGACGACCAGGATTGACTCCCAACAGTTAAAAGGTTTAGGCTTCATTTAGGAGTTTTTCTTTTCATTAAACTTGGTATCTGTTAAAGAGGCCGAGTTAAAGCCATTTCTGTGGTTACTATAGCAGCCATCTTGAAATGGTTAGCCTCCAAAAATGTAACATCAAATAATCAGTTTTATTAAAATCTGCACATCTCTCAAATCATTTTGTGATCCTTTGTGTCTTTTAATCAAGTCAAAATGCCTCTAATTTGGTTTTAAAGGTGGGGAAATGAATTCTAACACTGAGGAAGAGGGTTGAATATTTTCTGTGATCAAATCTGATTTTATTCCATTTTAATTATATTTTACGACGACATACCGTCCAAAGATTCTGCGTCAATCAGTAATTATTGAAGCTTCAAAGACTCAGGCTGCCATTTCAGCGTGATTTAATCAAAGTTATCTTCTGCAAATATTAATGAACACTGTGACATATGGGTGTGTTTCATAACGGAACAGATTACTGATATTCATAATTTAAGTGTTAGACACTCGGTCTGCTGGAAGTTTACCAAAAGACGTTGAAGCTAAAGCAAAGACGAGACTGAACGCCCCCGTCAGTTAACTCAGATCATTTAACAGCCCTGCTGTGGTTTTACAGCACCTCAGTCCTGGAAACACAAAAAATGTCTGTCTTCCATTTACTGACAGCTGCAACAAAAACATGCATTTATCAATGAGTCACGTTATCACTTGGATTTGAACCAGTACGTTTTGAATCCAATAAAATCAAAGATGTTAACAAATAAACTGGACAATATTCTGGCAATTTAGTGATATTTTCACAGTTGTCGTCTTGACTGGTCTTGAAATAAAATCCCGAGTCCCCGATGTCTGAGACCAAGACAAGATCAAAAAGTGGTCTTGAGACCAGTCACAAGACCAAGAGTGGCCTCGAGTACTACAACACAGCAGTTAATATCATGTTTTGTAGATAGATAGATAGATATGGATAGATATAGATACATGTTGATTTAGATTGATAGATAAAGAAGGACTAGGCTTAAGACTTTCCTTTTTGCAAAATCCTATAGTTAGGGTTGGCTTGGGTTTCCTGAGCTGTCCCTTAGTTATGCTGCTTTAGACTTAGACTGCTGGAGGACAAACTGACCACACTTTTCACTCTGCTACTGTCTTCACTTACTCTGCTCAACCGGTTTTGTATTTGTAATTATTTTTTCTATCCTTGACATGTGTTTTTTTGTTTTTCAGGTACACCTGCACCAACATCTGGACCTGCCATTCTGTGTCCGTCTGTCTCTCCTTCCTGTCCTCTCAAACCAGCCGGTCAAAGCAGATGGCCGTTTGTCCTGAGCCTGGTTCTGCTGGAGGTTTCTACCTGTTAAAAGGGAGTTTTTCCTTTCCACTGTTGCCACTGTGCTTGCTCAGGATGGGAGACTGCGACGAAGCCAAGATCCAACGAGTCTGCTGGCCTCCTTAAATCGAGAACTTTATTAATTGGCTTTTCTATGCATGTGAATGTTCGTGTACAGTGCCCTGAGACAACTTTGTTGTCTATAAAAAGATAGAGATAGATATAAATATAGATACATAGAGATGCATAGATAGATGGATACATAAGCTGTGTTTTCATGGACATAGTAAGTAATCGTATTAAACAGCCATTCGGAATAAAAATGTGTCATGTAAACACTCCATTTGGATTATTCTGAGCTGATTCAGCTCAATCCGAATGAATTTATAATCCGAATGAGAGGGATGGCTTATGCCGATTCATAAACCAAACGGTGTGCATGTAAACACTTAATCTGATCATTTTCTTTGATTGTGGAAAACTGACCTGACTGTGCGACCTATGTCTACGTCACGTATTTCCGCCTGGCTAGATGCCAATATGTCGGGGAAGCAAAACTGGTCGGTGAGCGACAACATTTCTACTAGAAACTTTGAAAGAGCTCAAAATGATCTGTTTTACCTGTAGCTCAGTCAGGGAGTGCGGCAACGTCTCCGCCGTCATGAAAACCTGGCGCGGGTCCATTTTGTGCGCTCAGGTTTGTTTATGTTCATCACTGAATTAGAACTTCTTCTTCTGTGTTTTTTTAAGGAAAGTTCACCACTCTGCGCATGTCAGTACTTCTATTCTGAATAAAAACCCAGTGCATGTAAACGCTCGCCATGATCAGATTATGCCCATATAAACGATACATTCGGATTATTTAAATCTGAATACATTTAAATCTGATCAAAGAATTTTGCGCATGTAAAAATAGCTATAGAGATACATAGAGATACATACATAGATATAGATACTGTAGCTAGATAGACAGCCAGCCAGAGGTGAGTATGTGGCTGAGAATGACGAGTAATTTTGTCCCCCCCCTCCCTCTCTCCCTCCCCCTCTCCCTCCCTCTCAGTCTATTTCTGGACAGGAAGTAAAGAATGACTCTGCGCTGCAGCCGAGGAGCCTTTTGATCTATTATCAGAAACACCGAGGGATTTAACAACCGCTCGTCGTTCCTTTTTTGGAGTCTCCTTTAAAACGACGTTATTTTACCGAGTGAACGTGAGAAGAAACCAAAGTCCTCGCGTTCTTTGAAGGAATTCACGAGGACACATTTAAACTAAAACCATATGAAGCCTTTTAAAACTCGTGTAACACCGAGATCTCACACGATGTGCTGGTGCTCACAGTACGTGTTGAGGACTCTCAGCTACTACCACACCAACGTTTAGCTCCATATCTGTACGTGTCCAGTTATACGTGTTTATTTCACCCATTAGTGCGTTCGCTAAGGTCGTTTAGCTGCGGTGGCCATCTTGAACTGGGCTGAGTCCAAAAGTTAAACCAGTTAGACATGCATCCATCACTTTCTCACTTTCAGACTTACTCAAATTTGTTCACTTGTTCAAGAGATATTTTGCTAACACTACAGTTAAATGAAGTGGTGGACAGAAGAAGACTACATTCAACTGTCAGGGTGCTACTACTCTCACAAATCTAAAAGACTGATGTCGATAAGGTCGGTTATCACAATTTAACAGTTTTACATGGGAGGTTTTGAAGGAATTTTATTTGTTTGTTTTTTTTAATCACTTTGTATATTTTATTACAGACTGAGCCCCAGATACTCAGCATTTCTAGTATCTGTGTCTGAATCTGAAGTGTTTGCAGTGGTTCTGGAGCAGCTCTTACCCGGGTCAGCTCAGACTCGGAGACGGAGCGCTGTGGCAGCGAGCGGCGATGGTACGCCGGCCGGGTCAGCTCCTGGTAGCTGGGGTTGTCGTCGTCCAGCAGAACGGGCTCGGAGTCCACCGACTCCTCATCCCCCTCCAGCTGAGACGTCATGTCGTCCGGACACACCTGGTGGTCGAGGCCATTCTGGCTCAGGTTGCAGTGAACAGCTGGACGGGTCAGAAGAACTGATTTAGGACCAGGTCAGGGGGAAGTTTTAATAAAAACAGGAGGAAACTTGACACATCCTGTAAGAAAGATGCTTTAAATTTTAAGAACTCTGACTTAAAAAATTGTGACAAAGAGGAATCTATTTAAATATATGATACATAATGAGACCTGGATCAACACATGTTAAATATTTTATACTAAAAGCTAAACTGCATAAAATTCACTAGATGGCAGCAGAGGTTTTATTAACTTCGGTTAAGAATCCGGTGCAACCATGTGTAGTTGACAGAGACACACAACTGCAAGAAGCAACAAAATAAGAGATTCATGTTGAGCAACTTCATCAGGAAGCACGAGGACTCCGAGCTCACAGAAGCTACGATCAGCCGCGGCAAAATACAAAAGTCAAGCGAGTTGCCCTCAAATGGCCTTCAGCACGTCAGTGAGACCCAAGTCCACAGAAAAGTCCCACCTTCAAGGCAACAAAACTGTGTGCGAGCACAAACGTAGCATAAACAATGACTTATTTACACTCGATGTTCTTTTTGCTGCATTTTGCATCTTCAAAACATAAAAAACAAAAAGCACATTTATCATTTGCTGACGTTTCCTTTAATATATATGAAATAAATTGTCATTTGCAGCATAAAGTATTACGATGCATGTATTTCACTCTGTTTTAAAACCATCAGGTCAGCAGGGAGGCTGACGGTTTGCAGACATACGTGTCTAATTGACACATTTAAGGTTGTAGTTTTTATTAAAACTTTTCTGAAATATAATAAGCACTACGATGACAGGTTTATTAAAGCCCGACTGATGATTAAATTTTGGCTATCGCCGATAACCGATATATTTGCTGAAAACTTTTGAGTTTTGTTTACCTCCAAGAATCTAAGTAAACATCTATTTTTAAACCTGTTTGAATACATCAAGTCTGGAAACGGTCTTCCTAACGTGCATTCACATTTTCCATTACGTCATTTGCAAGTAAGGACACGGCTCGTTCCCAGAATTTTAGGGGTGAAAATTAGAAGTGGTTATATCGGCGCACAATGAGCCAATTATCATCGATATGTCCACAAACGCCTATAAAGGTCTAAAATATTGGTCCTACTATATATATCTGTCAGGCTTCAGTTTTTACATTTAGCTCATGATTAGTTATTTCTGTTCAGTATTAGAATAAAAACCCTGAGGAGGGATCAAAACTTTAATAGCAACTAATTTTACACCTTACAAACTAGCTGTTTTTTTTCGCTACTTTTGCTTTTAATCATCTTCTTATTCTATTTTCACTAGTTAAAAAAAAATAATTGCACACATACTTTGATTGTTTATCGTTGTCATTGTTGTCCACTGTTGTCGTCACTCTTTGCTAAAATTCAGGTCTCTCTTGTAAATGAGTCCCTGAGGCTCAATGGGATTAACCTGTATAAATAAAGGTGGAATGAAAATTGATGTGAACTCTTTGCTACAAAACCATTTACAGCAATTGAACCGATTCATATGGGATTGTGTGTTGAAAACAAAAAGAAAAAGGTGCACACCATCAGGTTTGTATTACTTTATTTAAACTTGTGTTTCTTTGTCATTTCTTTTATAAAGAGGTTACATTTAGTTTTGTTTCTGCAGGAAGTGTCTGCCCTGAACACTAGATCTGTCTCAGGTGGAGTGGTGACAGCCAGCACAGACTTCTTGGGCTTCTCTTAAATAGACTTACTGGTTGTCACACAACCTGCACACTCGTTCCAAAAACACAGACGGCTTCTTCATGAAGAACAGGAGGCAGAAAGTCATTTTCATCGCACCTGAAGGCTGCTTGGATTTGTGCTGCAGGTCAGGATTAAAGGTCAAAGCACTATTTTACAAAAAGCTACGCATTCTGCTTCATTTAACAGGCTAAAAACTAAGAGGGAACAGAAATACAAAAGATCAAACTAATGCACAACTGAGACAACAAGACATTCAATAAAACTAAAACACAGTAAAAAAGGGTAAGAGTCATAAGATTGCTTGTATAAATATCTGTTATCTGCATTAACCTTCCCCTTCCAATATCTGTATATTGTATATCTGGCGATAGTTAAAATGTCCATATCGGCCGGGCTCTAGTAATTATACATTAAAATGTAAAACACCCAAAGTGAGCCTCGCTGCTACACAACTTTTCGTTTTCTCTCAACTCTGTCAGAAAACAGAGCATGCACACACAAGCATCAATTCTTCAGTTTCCATCCATCCATTTTCTTCCGCTTATCCGGGGTCGGGTCGCGGGGGTAGCAGCTTAAGTAGGGAGGCCTAGACTTCCCTCTCCCCAGCCACTTGGTCCAGCTCCTCCGAGGGAATCTCAAGGCATTCCCAGGCCAGCTGAGAAACATAGTCCCTCCAGCGTGTCCTGGGTCTTCCTCTGGGTCTCCTCCCAGTGGGACGTGCCCGGAACACCTCACCAGGGAGGCGTCCAGGAGGCACCCTAACCAGATGCCCGAGCCACCTCAACTGGCTCCTCTCAATGTGGAGAAGCAGCGGCTCTACTCTGAGTCCCTCCCAGATGACCGAGCTTCTCACCCTGTCTCTAAGGGAGAGTCCAGACACCCTGCGGAGAAAACTCATTTTGGCCGCTTGTATCCAAGATTTCGTTCTTTCGGTCACAACCCAAAGCTCATGACCATAGATGAGGGTAGGAACGTAGATCGACCGGTAAATTGAGAGCTTCGCCTTTTGACTCAGCTCTCTCTTCACCTCGACAGACCGGTACAGCGCCCGCTTCACTGCCGACGCTGCACCTATCCGCCTATCGATCTCACGCTCCATTTTTCCCTCATTCGTGAACAAGACCCTGAGATACTTGAACTCCTCCACTTGGGGCAGGACCTCCTCCCCGACAGGGAGAGGGCACTCTACCCTTTTCTGGCTCAAAACCATGGCCTCAGATTTGGAGGAACTGATCCTCATCCTGGCCACGTCACACTCGACTGTGAACCGCTCCAGCAAAAGCTGTAGATCACGACTTGGTGAAGCCAATAGGACCACATCATCTGCGAAAAACAGAGCAGCGATCTTAAGGACACCAAAATGGATCCCCTCAACAACTTGGCTGCGCCTAGAAATTCTGTCCATAAAAGTTATGAACAGAATCAGTGACAAAGGGCAACCTTGGTGGAGTCCAACTCTCACTGGGAATGACCCCGACTTACTGCCAAGCTCTGACACTGGTTGTACAGGGACCTAATAGCCCGTATCAAAGGGCCTGGTACCCCATACTCCCAGAGTACCCCCCAAAGGGCTCTCCACAGGGCTCCTCGAGGGACGCGGTCGCACATGTAGACTGGTTGGGCAAACTCCCACGCCCCTTCCAGGACCCTGCTGAGGGTGTAGAGCTGATCCAGTGTTCCACGACCAGGAAGAAAACCGCACTGCTCCTCCTGAATCCGAGGTTCAACTATTTCTTTTCAGTTTAAAATTTTATCTTTAAAGCGGGATATGGAGTCCAACTTTTCATCTCCCCCACAAAAACACTGTAGAAACAATTGTTTTTTTTTTTAAATCACATTAACTAAAACAAACTGAAAGAGTTCAGCCATTTACAGTTCGAATTATAGCTGTTTTATTGTTGCTGCTGTTTGAGGCTTAATTTTCAGTCTGCTTCTGTCTGCCTCGTTAACTTGGCAGTCAGGGAGTAACATACATATGCGTGGTCACCATGGTGACCATAACAAGCCACTGGCAGCAGCTTTAATATTTTTAATCTTGGTTCATTTTACATTTCTTATAAATTTAGATAAAATAATGTCAACATTTGTCTTCGTTCAGATGATTACTAAACTGACGGAGCAGGAACTTTACCGACGCTCTTCAAAACGTCTTCAAGACATTTAGAGTTAGGAAATCCGGCACAGTGACCGACAGCCAGGGATGGAGGCATTAGGTTAGCATCGTTTGGTTTCGTGTCGTTGGATCCTTGTTAAATCAAAGGAAATATATTAGGACCAGTTGTGCTGACTGGTCCGACCATTTCCTACGAGTGTTTTAATGGATCGTTTCCAGTGACGTGTGATGTTTAATAAATCTACGACTGCACAGATATCTGTTCTCCTCCTCCTAGAAAGAAGAGACAAAAGGATGACAGGAGAACAGGATGGGTTGGGCAGCGAGAGGAAGAAAAGCTGCAACACTTCATTGTTTAAAAAAAAAAGCAAGGGGGGGGCGGCTAGGAGGAGATGGAAAAGGGTTTTATTTTGTTAAACAACAATATAAATGTATATAAATAGCCCCGTTATATTCCTCTCTCTGTTCTCCCTAACCAGCGCTGTGAGAGGAGGAAGACGACAGATAATGGGCGTCTGCCTTCGCTTATTGTCTGCATTTGCTTCTTAATCAGTGAATTTTAGAGGAATGTGGGGGTGGGGGGAGCACATAGGGAACATGTTCTTTCAAAAGCGTGGCTTTTGAGATCAATGCATGGCTGCCTCTATATTTTTTTTAGAATAAAAACAGTAGAATTGGATTATTCTGTCTCTTAATTGGGTCTACCATATTTATAAGGTGCATTAAGCGAAACGGAACAGTCTGATAAGTCGAACTCTATTCAACTCGTTCACAATAACCACATCAAATCAGTTCGAGGTCAGTCAGAACAACCAGAGTTCATACATAAGGCGCACCAGATTATAAGGCTCGTTGTCGATTTCTGAGAAAATTCAAAGATTTTAAGTGTGTCTTATAGTCCGAAAAATACGGTCAATAAAAATTAGCCATAATGAATTTATCCAACGGACAAAAGTACCAACAATACCTCAGATTTATGAACATAATAGAGCAGATCTTCAATAAATACGTATGATTATTGTCTTGTTTACAGAGGGGTTCTGCAATAGTTTGTCAAAAAAACTTAATTCATTCATTCAACCTTTATTTATACAAGTTAATCCCATTGAGGCTCAGGGACTCATTTACAAGAGAGGCAACAATAGTATCTTTGCAAAAATATCTTGTACAA